TGGAGACTGGCAGGGGTGGATGGAGAGACGGAGCTTCGCTCCTTCTCCGGTCGACGTGACTGGGATCGGGGAAAGCTTCCGGTGGACTGGGATAGGAGATATTGTCCCGTGTACATTGGCCTTTGGGATTGAAGTTGGGGTTTGGGGCAGGGGACCGGGGGATGGGAGTGGAAGTATCACCCGTGGAAATCCGGGGCGGGTAGATACTACCCAGGTAGCAAGCTAGCTAGCAGCAGCCAAGCAGACAGGCAGGGAACAAGCTACCTAGTACTGGTAGTAAGCAAGCAAGACAGCCAGCCAGCAATCATGGGGAAAACTACGTACTTTGGACTGTACCCCGTCGCTTCTTCTAAGGATATGCAGTGTGATACAATACATGTAAGTATCCGGAACACCTGCATGTTAAAATCCCTCCAACCCATGGTGCTGAGCTCCAGCATTCCCCCTCAAGCCGGCTCCTGCTCCACCCCGCCCTCGACGGCGAGGACGATCTGGAGCCACCGGATCATCCGACTGGAACAGAAGCCCGCCTCCGGGTCCTCGCATCCCCTGGAGAACGAGCTGGCCACCGTCGTCCTTGAAGCCTTCGCCATCGTTCAACAAATGCGTCCAACTCTTGCGCATCATCACATAGCATTCTTCAAGGTGCCGAACTCGCTCGAGGTACGCGGGGGAATCAGCCTCCACCTCCACTGTCCCGTGCTCCTGGTCGATTTTGGCCTTCATTTTTCCGTCCAGAATAAGGAAGCTCACGATATCCTGAGCCTCGGGCTCGGTGATACGAATGTGCTTCGTGATGAATTTGAGCGTGAACCGCTTGTACGGTGCAGTCAGCTTCTGCACCGCGCGGACGCGCATGTTCCGGCTGACTTCGTCGATGTTCTCCGCGATGAACGGGTCGGCCAGCACGTCGGCGTTCTTACTAAGGATGTCCTCGTAGACGCGAATATCGTCCCGTTGGTATGCGTCGACGAGATCGGTCATGGCAGCGATGCGGGGATCGTTCTTGTATGGTTGCGTTTCCTGGGAGTCGAACGGGTTGATGTCCGATTTCATGAGCATCGTCGTCAGCACGAGATACTTGAGCACCTGGATGCGCTGCATGGAGCCCGCCTCGTCGTAGTTCCGGAATGACTCGAAGAAGTCGCTCTGCGCCTCCTTCCAGTTCTCCTCGCTCATGTGCATCTTCCCACCGCACTCCCGGATGATGCCCATGATCTTCGGATGCGGCACAGCCGACCGAACGCGTAGAGCCTTTTGGTAGAGCGCCTTGAGCCGCTTGTTGTTCTTCGTCTCGGCATACATCTGGATCTCCAGTGCGTAGAGTTCGAGGAGGTAGGTGCCTTTGCTGGGGTCGTCGCTCCCGTCCTCCCGCTGACATGCCCGGTGCAGCTCCCGTACCTTTTTTCTCAGCTGGCTATAGTCCTTGCGCTCGAGCCACAGTCGGGCTAATTTAATGTTAGTCTTCAACCATAATCGCTCGTTGTTGGTGTTCTGGAACGATCGCAGCGTCAAGGAGTAGAATTCTTCCATGCACTGGTATGCCCTTTCGTCGTCGGAGCCCTTTTCAATGTAGTCCAGCATGTTGTTGATTGATTTCTCCGAGTAATTCCGGGTGACGGCCGACTTGACGTAGGTGAGCAGTTCCCTGTAGTGTTCAACGGCCTGAGCAGTCAGTACTGATCGCACGAAAGGGTGGGCGAAGGAGGAATACATCACTGTATCGTCCAAGCTTGAATTCTAACTTGATGGCCTGCTTCAGCCCCTTGAATCCCCTGCGCATGACTTCGTTATTTTTCACGACTGGATCTGTTTGGTTCGACGTCTGCCTTACCAGTCGCCTTTATCTTGCTCCAGTGCCGGCACTCCTAGGAACTCGTCAATCGCCTCCTCTGGATTGTCTATCTTCACTTGTTTCGCATTGTAGTATTTGTTCTCGATTCCGACATCGCCCGACTCGTCCTCATCTTCATCTTCGTATTCAAAGTCATATCTAAGAGTCGGTCAGCCAAGTGCGACGGCGGGTTGGGTACTGGCACTTACTCCTCGTCACCAGAATCTTGCATGAAATCATCGTCGTCCGACATTTTGAAAGACTGAAGCGTAGGAGAAAAGTTCGCTAAAGAGATAATAGGAATAGCTGATTAAAGCATCAAGGAGAAGGGATGGGAGGTGCAGTGGTTGTTGACCCGTGACGCAGTGAGAGGAATGGGATAAATGGATGGACCCAATCGAACCAATGATGGAGGTGCCGTCCGCGCCTATCGGAGAGGTCGGTTTGACCTTCCCCGCCTTCCAATTTGGAGTCAATTTTCCAGTCACGGGCACTTTCAAGGTGTCCTTCACCAAGTAACACACTGCATGGCGCTGAACACAACAATTTCTTGGGTGTTGCACCAACGGTTGAGCAGGCTGCTACTTACAATGCTACTAGGTGGCTATGCATGACAAGGCCACCAGTTACTTTACTGCGGTGATGACATCCCAGCCTTGTTTTCCGAGTACGAGTTCATAGAGGCCTATCCCGCATATCTCACCAGGATATATAGAAGTAGTCAACCTTGACTATCAACTAAGCACAATACTTCCAAGTGGCTACGATCAGCATGCGATGATCAGTCCGAGACAGACTCCATACTGATTGCGCAGGCACTTTCTTAGTATCAACTAGTTATGATTCTGGCCAACACGATACTCTTACATAGAGTACTGTCCTGTACAGTACAGCGCAGAGTCTGAAGTGCTATGTATAGTAGTATCCTTGAAGCAATTGACCAAAGTGTCCATGTACTGCAGGTAGAAAAGGAGACAAACGGCCTGATTGAACTCATGATCGACACGCTTCAGAGCTGCAGCAACGGCCACCATATCATAGTCTCTCCGCCACATTGAAGAATTCTAGCGGTACTCCGTAGTTGGCAGATGAAGATCGGCTCTTCGTGGAGCCTCCGATGACATCTGCTGCTGCTGCGCTGCAACTCCGCCGCCCAGCCATGACTCGCGCCCCGTCAGTAATCAGTTACTAAGTAATTCTGCCTCTTCACTTTCTCTCTTCTACTTCGTGTTCGCATCCAACTAAACCTTTCGTCACAACCACCTCGTGAAACCTCATCATTTCCTATTATTCAAGCTTCGTCTGCCTAGGATAATAATTTCCTTCTGACCCAGACACAAACAACCTTACATCCATACACCCATACATCCATCCATCCATACATCAAATCTCCGCTCGCTCGCCGCTGTCGAACCTTGTTCCCCGATCTAGAACCTCCCCCCCCTCTCTCATCTCTCCTCCACCCCCCTTCCCTCCCTTATCTTCGTCGGGACCCTTCGACCCTTTCCCCCCCCTGCGATTCCTCCACCAACCCCGATTTCTTACTTCCACCATCACAATGAGTCTCTGTGGGCGTCAAAAAGTCGTGCGCCGGAAGATGGTGCTCTTGTCAGTGCAATCTATAACCTATCGGTCGGCCAGCTGGGAACTTGAAGAGCTGACTTCCTAGATAAGAGGGGACGGTGCTTGCGGAAAGACCTCGGCTTTGAATGTATTCACTAGAGGGTTTGGCCATCTGATTTCCCCCCCTGTTTTCTCCCAACCGAACTAACATGCTCCCACTCTAGATATTTCCCCACGGTCTAGTGAGACACCTGCTTTGCGCTTATGCTTGTTTGCGATTGATTTATTGACCGCAGCATTGACTGCATAGCGAACCCACCGTCTTCGGTACGCACTGGCTGTTCCTCCCTCGAGATGATATGCTCGCTAACGTGTTATTGGAAATTAGAGAACTATGTACATGGTACTTTCCCTCCCCGCCCGATATCGGCCTTGGTCACTCCTATATACTCATTATCTCGCCAACAGACATCTTCGTCGACAATGTACATATGGAACTGTCGCTCTGGGACACGGCGGGCCAGGAAGAGTTCGACCGATTGCGCGCGCTTTCATACGAGGATACGCATGTGATCATGCTCTGCTTCAGCGTAAGGAGGATCGATGCGACCGGCTTTGTGTTGCGATTTTGACCCCGTACTAGGTCGACAGTCGCGATTCGTTCGAGAACGTGGCCAGCAAATGGATCGAGGAGATCTCCGAGAACTGCCCCAGCGTGAAGCTGGTCCTCACGGCACTGAAATGTGACTTGCGAAAGGACGAGTTCCTGAACGACAACCCCAACGCCATCGCCTATGAAGAAGGCCTTGCGAAGGCCAAAGAGATCGGTGCCGTCAAGTATCTGGGTACGGAGTCTTTTTCTTTTTTTTTTTTTTTTTTTTTTTTTTTTTTTTTTTTTTGGGGTTCAAGCTTTGCTGACAGGTGACTTGCAGAATGCTCTGCCGTGCAGAATCGTGGCATCATGGAAACTTTCTACGAGGCAGCTAAGGTGGCCCTGGAAGTGAAAGCTCAGGGGTCGAACGGCTCCGGGGATCGGTGTATCATTCTGTAGACCTGATGGGTCTCGTTCGCTCTTTGCTTCTGTTCCTTTATCATTATACCCGTTCTCAATATTTCCCCCTATGGTTCGAACAAAACCGACCTGGATCAGTTGCCCTGGATACGTGCCTGCAGTTCGGGAATCGGAGGACCTTGTGTGAGCCTTCGAAAAGACCTTGTTTCGCCGCAAATTCAGCCAGTCGTACTTTGCATGTGATCGCCCTATGTCTGTTTTCTCTATATATACTTCTCTTTCTTCCACACACCGCCTTCATATTAACCGTGTACACTTATTGTCTTGATTTCATGTCCCCTGAAGCCTTTATGTTCTGGAAAGCATGCAAGACAAGCCTGGTGGGAGAGATGTTCAAGGCAGATACTCACATCATCATTTTATCTCATCCGCATCGTCGCAAGCGGACCCCATCCATATCATGATTTCGTCCTAAGCATAGATCGAGAAAACAAACTATGAGTACGAGTATTTGATACGATATCTAATCTAATTTTCCCTTGGAAAACTCCCTCAACCCAGGGCTTCACCCCTTTACCCCATGTACTCTCTCTACTCCCTCAACAAATCCTCCTCCGCAATCGAATAAACCTCCTCAATCCCCTCCCCCTTCCCCTTCCCGCCCTGCGCCGCAAAATCGCGATTCACGCGCCGCACAAACGCCTCGACAAACCGCCCGGCCACCGCCGGGACATCCGCCTGCACGCCGAGACCCGCCAGACTGGTCGCCTCGCGCCCTTCCAGCCCGCACGCCACGATCTGCCGGAACCACCACATGGGCTCCTGGGTGACGTTGAACCCGATCCCGAAGCTACTGATGTTCCGCCGCAGATGCACCCCGACCGCCGTGATCTTGCGGGGTAGCTGCGCAGCCTCATCTTCTTCCGCATGTTGACTGCTGGCCCGCAGCGGAGTTTTCGGGGCTAGGGGGGGATGCACCCACACGCCCGGATCCTCGGTCACCAAACCCCGCACCCCGTACGAGGCCAGCACGTCGATCACGCTGTTCTCCAACAATCGGATGTGGCAGCGCGGGGTCAGCCCCAGGCGCCGCAGGTCGAGGATCGTGTATGCGACCATCTGCCCCGGGCCGTGGTAGGTGGTCTGCCCGCCGCGGAGGGTGGGGTGGTATTCTGCTTTTCCCGGGGGTTGTTTCTGGGAAGAAGGGTAGGGCGTGGGCGGGATCAGGAGGGAGCGGATTTGTTCCAGGGGTGGGGGGAGGGAGAGCGTGTTTTGCGTCTGGGTGGCATTCGTAGTGGAGGGTAAGGGTGTAGCGGCGGTGGTGTCGCGCGGACTAGTGTTCGAGGGCGGGAGGTCGCGGCGGCCGGTGGTGTAGACGGGGTGCGGGGTGAATGTGATGATTGTTGGGTCCGGGGGCGGTGGCAGCGTGGAAGTTGTGTCATTCGCCGCAGAGAGGAGTTTCTTGTGCGTGAGGAGGCGCGTGGTGAGGGTTTGTTGGAGGTGGGAGATGCGCGTGAAGGAGGTTAGGTCCGGGTAGTGGATGTGGGCGAGGCGCATTTTGGATTTGCCTTTTGGGGGTCGCGTGATGGGGGTGCTGGGTTGTAGGTGTTTTTAGGGAGTATGGGAGGAGTTGTTCATAGCATTGACGGTTGGGAGAAGGGTAATTGGTTTGTGGAAAGGTAATTGAGGTTGGAAGAGGGGAGCTGAAGATGATGGTTTGCGCGGGCGGATAAGCTTGAGCGGGATGGACGTCACCGCGGAAAACTAGTGGTTTCGGACGGAGTCGGTGGGAGAGTTAACTTTGCCGCCGCTTGCTGGCCGGACGATCATGTGATGACAGGTATTTTAGAGATAACCACCTCAATTGAGATCTCTGGTCTATGTCAATGGCCTGGAAGCCAGAATTCCTATATAGACATGTTGGTTTTCATTATACGCAGATATAGTCACTAGACTTTTGGACATGTGCCCCCAAACCACTGATATGGACATGATATGGTTCGGACAGAGTTGACAATGCGGTATCTGAATTGGTCAAGAAAACTGAGACAAAAAGCACTGGGAGTCGAAATCATGCAGGCGCAACTCCATTGACCAAGGACTCCTGCGACTCGTCCTCGCGCACCAACTGCCAATCACGCACTCCTCCCTTCCAGTCCGCGATACGTCCCTCACGGACCTGCACAGTCACTACCCGCACATCACTGTCAATCGAGATGCTCGGCCTTCTTGCTCCCGGCTGTTGTTGGAGCTGCTGTCCGAACGTGCCGATCTCCTCCTCAAAAGTGTTGTTCTCCAAGTGCTGTGTCTTGCACCATTCCTCCTCCTCCGAGCCAGGCTCCAGAACCCGGGCAGTACCGGCAATTGTCGTGGAGATGCTCGACAGCGCACTCGTATTCAAGTTCAGCAGTAGGCTAGCCAAGGATGAACGGGTGGCTGCGGGTGGCGGAGAGCCCTCTCGGTCACCTCCGGGGTGGGGTGCGCGCGTAGGAGGACGGTGGGAGACCCAGTCGTGGACCAGAAGGGAGATACGAGGATTTGTCAGGATCTGGTTGGTCTTGCGAGAGGATGGGTTGGTGGTCATGATAATCGTGGGGTATGGGTCGAACGGAGTGGAGGGTAGGTAGGTGTATGACATGAGGGAGATGTGGGGGGTCATGCCATCGGTGGTTGCAAGATGAAGCTAGGGAGAGATTAGAGAGTGACCGTCAGTCTGAGCCTACAGCTAGCAAGCACTTACAAAGCGCGAGTTCTTGAGGCTGGAGACCACCTCCGTAGGTAAGGTGCTGGCGACATGCGGGTGGCAGGTCGAGGCGGACGCCTCGTACGAAAGGGGAGGATTGTTGGGGTCTGCCATGATGATTGTTGAAGATGTAAGTTATCACAAGAGTCCTTCCTGTATTGGTTGTGATACGTGACTCTCAGTACACACTGTGAACTGATCAAGAGCAGCTGAGAATGGAGGCAGCGCAAGTGGAGGGGCTGCGGAAGCCAGAGCAGCTCACTATCACTAATCCAGATTGGGGATGAGCGGTTGAGCGCGGATCACCAGGCGGGCCGAGTGGATTACCTAACACCCGTTGCTTGTCTGGCAACGCTCGCTTGCCGTCGACGTCATAGAGATCGAGCTCTGTTTTAATCGGATGATTCGGTGCTTACGGAGATTGTACCAGGGGCAAAATAGCTGCGAATTGCTAGGTGCTGGAGGCACAGTGATGAACGTTTACTCGTCAAGACTGATAGGGCAAAAGGAGCTTGAGGTGCCACTTTTTTCGTCATGGTGGTCTCAGCCACTGAACAATAATCCTCGTCGTTGGTGTGAAGATCGCGGCAGAGTCCAGATGGTGACGAATCATCCGCAATTCTTCCGTTATCAGGAGAGCTGCTCCTCCAGATCCCTTTCGGCAGGATGAGCGGATGCAGGGCCTAGGATCATTCGGTCATATGGATTACTTCACTGGGGCCGAGATTGGTGATGCCTTCTCATATAAGAACAGGTGATGACTGGCAATAATACCCAAGTAATCATCCACGGTTAGCACGCCTGGCCAATTTCCCCGCACTTTGCTCCGTAACTAGTAGTGACGGTCGACTTTCCCCAGCTTCTAAAAACACCCACGGTACTTCGGGGGTACCTCTCAGCTTCCAGCTCTCACCCTCCGCTCCTCTTCTTCTTCACCTCCTCTTCCACATTCACGCCTCTTACCTCTCAACCAGTGTCATTTGATCCCTCACCACCACCAACAATTACCCCGTCCCAATTCTACCAACCAGTCCAGGATTAATGCTACTCCGCCCCCGGACAATTCCACCAGTTCCTCTTTGCTGCTAATCCTGGCCTCCAACGCTTGCTACCCGACTGGTTCTCAGCGATACTTCCTGCCGTGCTCTTTCCTCCCAGCCATTCGGTCAGGTCACTAAGTTGTCGCGTGCTGGCCTCGATATATCCCTGTCCTCTTGTGTCTCAGCATCTGTGGTTTCCCCTCCCTACTTATTAGACCCCTCTCCTGCAATCCTCCTCTGTTGCCTTCACTGCTCTGTGCTTGGGTTGATCATACGGTTGACCCGTCGTTTGCCAGCGTCTTTTCACCCACCATTGTTTCTATTTGTTTCCAGTCGAACTTCTGGCCTTTAGGCAGCTGCTTGTTGTATACGCATAAGCCATGTTCGCACAACGCGTGGTTCGTCCAGCTTCTGTGCTGGCTCGCCCCTTCAGTTCCTCTGTTGCTGCCTTTCGTGCCCCTTCCATCCGTGACCTCACCCCCGACTCGGCTGCTGAGTTTAACGCACGGCAAAAGGAGTTTCGCGAGAACCTGGAGGTGTCTCGCAAGAAGAGAGAACAGCAAGAGAGTCAGTCTGTCGATGCTTCTGCTTCTTCCTCTGCATCATCCCCTTCAATTCGTGATCGCTTCCGTGAGTACGCTACCGCTCCCACTGCTCCGCTCGAGAGCAATGGAAGCTGTAACAACAGCCCCGACCTTGAAGCTGCAGATGTACCTGTTGAGAAGGCATTGGGCTCACTCTCTACTTATCACAAATTAGAAGACGAACAGCTGCTGGAATCTAGCCAGTCTCCGAAACGCGGCCCGCTGTCGTCGCTTATCTACGGAACAAAGGAAGGCCAGCAGCTCGACAAGGACATCGAACGGTCGTTCTCGCAAGTGCTCGCCCGAGGCAAATACGTCCATTCCATTGTCTTCCACGATGTCAAGCCCGACAAAGTCGATGAATATGTCAACCTTGTTGGCCAATGGTATCCTCGCATGGCGACCGAGCCTGAGAACAGGGTCAACTTAGTCGGCAGTTGGCGTACCCAAGTCGGCGACAACGACACTTTTGGTATTTATAACAGCCGACCGTTCATAGTGCTGGTCCAAGTCTGCATACTAACATCCCGATTGCAGTCCACATCTGGGAATACCAGCGATACGAAGGTTACCACGCATCCTTGCATAATATCGCCTCTCATCCCGAGTTCGAAGCCTTTGACCGGAAGCTGAAGAGCTTGATCAAAAGCAAGAAGACGTCGCTCATGCAGGAGTTTTCTTTCTGGCCCACAACCCCTCCCCGACGCCTCGGTGGCCTGTTCGAACTTCGCTCATATACTCTTCACCCTGGGAACCTCTTGGAATGGGAGACACATTGGCGTCGCGGCCTCACCGCTCGCCGAGAGGTCATGGAGGGAGTCGGTGCTTGGTTTGTACAGATTGGAGACTTGAACACAGTGCACCATCTCTGGCAATTCGCCAACCTGGAGGAGCGGAAGATTCGCCGCGAACAGTCCTGGGGCATTGAAGGCTGGGCGGAGACGGTGCACAAGACCGTCCCATTGATCCAGAGCATGCAGAGTCGGATCTTGATCCCGATGCCGTGGAGCCCTGTCGGCTAAAGAGATTGGGTAGGCTGCGGGGAAGAAGGATCGGTGATCACAAGACAGCACCGTCCGAGCGAACTAGCCAAGCATGCAGAACCGACCAGGTTGCGGGCTTCCTTTGCAATCCATGCACCATGGATCAGGACAGGGCAGGAGGGCGAGGATCCAAACCGCCAGTGAGCGGTTCGACAGAAGGAGCGTGGGGCAACCCAGCTTTGTCCTTTCTTCCACAAATCCTGAGGGAGTCCTTGACCTCGTTGGTCTTTATCCACACATTCCCTTAACCGGCCGCTGTGCCCACGGTGTATCGTACCTGAATTAGCATTTATTGAAACTGTGTTTTATGTTCTTCTTTGTTCGTTCAATCTTCTACTCGTACATCTTTTCTCTATTTTCTCTATGTTTCTTGTAGTGCTAATTATTGGTGAGGCGACCTAAAAGCTTTAGGGTCAAAGATGGGCCGAACATCAAGTCGCGGCCCATGGTCCCGCTTTGTTGTGCTAGCGGAGCTAGCGGAATTGAGTCCATCCCCGCTCTGTACGCGACCGAGTCACGGTGTCGAGTTGGGTGTCAAATGTTACCTCGGGTCGAATGGCGAGGGAGAAGACTGGTGGTATTCTCTAAGCAACCCCACCTTGGGGGGACATTGGTCATTTCGGTTGACGACGATCTAAGCCCCGGACGGCACAAGGAAAGAATGCCAGAATGAGTGATGCATGGTGCTTTGTCCTAGTGAAATCATATTAAACCACTGAACCAGCGAATCAAAGATATAGCTGCACGTGCGCCACTTCGCCAAGGGATCGAATCTTTCGACGATGTGCGGTGAGGTTCTCTCTCTGCGAGTCTGCAGCCCTAGAGAGGTGTAGGAAGTGTTGAATGTTGACTGGCTGTCCTCCCCTCCTCCCCGCCTTTCCATCAAGCATCTTTTCCGCCGGCAGAAAAAAAAGAGGGTCGTTGGGAAAACAAAACAACCTAGGAAAAAATTCATGGTTGGAAAGCGAACAACAACATCATCGTCTGCTGTTTATTCTTCTTCTTTCGGCACCTCCCTTTGTCCTAGCCTGTTTCCTTTCCTTTTTATTTTTCATCTTTCATATTACATTTTCAGATCGACTTCCGGTCCTTTTCGAAGTTGATTCTTGTTCTGACGTCCTCCCTCCCTTCCTACTTCCGGGACATCTGGACATTCTGACATCAATCTTAATTTGCCGCCTAATAGGCTACCTTTCCCGCGCGTGAAGAATAACAAGGGCAAAACATACTCGAGCCTTTCACATCCTCCAGTTGATTCATCGGACGTACCGTATCGATTCTTGTAGTTCGAAGGGATAAACTCCGGCTTGCATCAATCGCCAGCACCACCAGGCAAGATGGTGTACATACGCCAGCACGAACTGCCCGCTCTGCGGCAGTATCGCTATGCAGGAGTGGACCACTCGCTCGTCAGTCGTTATGTTTTGAAGCCCTTTTACAATGATTTTGTCATTAAGTTCTTTCCGATGAGCATGGCGTAAGTAGTTGTTGATGTTGTTCTCACCGGCTGCATACCTCTTGCTAACGACCTCTTCCCTCGGCCTTAGTCCTAATGCTGTAAGTTATCTGGCCTGATCGTTCCGCAGCCGGAACGAGACATAATAACGGGGAACCGGCAGATCACCTTGACCGGCTTCTTCTTCGTGGTAGTCAACTTCATCACCATCCTATGGTACAACCCGACCCTAGACCAGGACTGCCCTTCCTGGGTCTATGCCAGTTGCGCCCTCGGGTTGTTTCTCTATCAGACGTTCGACGGTGTAGACGGCATCCAAGCGTATGAACAAGCCCCTCGCGCCTTCTTTCTACTGGTAGACAGGACACTAAATGGAACACTGCAGGCGGAGAACAAAGCAAAGCGGCCCTCTGGGGGAGCTGTTTGATCACAGTAAGTCGGGGGAAGATCTGGGCTTGTATGAAAAGCGAGTATGGAACCTAAGTGTTTTCTCCTAGGTGTCGATGCTTGCAACACCGCCTTGGGAGTTCTGATCTTCTGTGCGGCTATGAACCTCGGCCAGTCATGGGCTACGATCCTGACTCTTTTTGGATGTATGTGCTTTACTCCAACGAGGAGTGAGCCGCTGAAATGCTGACATGGTAGCAGCGACTATGACTTTCTATGTCCAGACCTGGGACGAGTACTACACCCAGGTACTGACCCTAGGAATTATCTCCGGCCCCGTTGAGGGCGTTCTCACTCTCTGCGTGGTGTTTGGGTTTACCGCATACATGGGTGGTGGCAGCTTCTGGCACCGGCCCATGCTGGAGACTATCGGACTCTCCAAGCCAGACTTCCTGCCAGATCAGCTCTATGGAATGGCCTTCACGCAGTGGTACATGGTCTATGGCGCGGTTCTCCTCTTCTTCGCCACGGGTTCCAGCATCGTGCACGTCATGAAGATTCGCAGCGAGCGTGGCCAAGACCCCGTTAAGCCTCTCTTCGGCCTCCTTCCGCTTGTGGCCGTATGGACCTTTGTTCCGGCCTACCTCTATCTTCAGCCGACCATCCTGGAAAACTACGCCATCCCATTCTGTTTGTACGTTGGCCTGGTCAACGCGTATGCGGTGGGCAGAATGATCATCGCGCATTTGACCAAAACCAGTTTCCCATACTTCAACATGCTCCTGGTGCCTCTTGCCCTGGCTACCATTGACAGTGTTGGCGACAAAAACGGATGCTGGTCGAGCTTGCTTGGCGGTGAGGTTGGCCAGGCTGCTTTCCTGTGGGTGTGTTTGGGTTTGTCGATCGGCGTGTATGGTAGTTTCGTGGTGAGTATTGACAATCCTTCCGGTGGATGAACGGGCGCTAATCGTATCCAGCATGATATCATCACGACGATATGTGACTACATCGACATCTGGTGCTTGACTATCAAGCACCCGCACCCGCGTGTGGAGGTGGTTGTGACAAACGGAGCCCCAAAGAAAACGAACTAGAGTAGCGCATGTTGGTATCGCATGACGGAAGTAATATCTCGCGGATGAGTGGCTTGCGGTGTATGATAGAGACGATATTATTCGAGCGTTAGGTGGCGAAGTCAACTTAGTATGCATGGAGGTGCCATTGGATAATGATGTCGTGAGTGTTGTGCCGGGGGTGGATGTGTCGGGTACATGTCGCCCGGACGAAGCATTGTTTAGTTATGAGTTAAGAGTCAAGCAGCGTATGTCATTCTTATTAGCAAATCCTGTCCAGCCAGTACTGAGTACGTCGATATGCATCTGTATAGAAGAATGACAGAAGGACCTTGAAGGACATGGTAGGATCTCGAAAGCTGAGATAAGCGCGCGACGATTGGCGGAGAGGGCGGGCGGCACGGGGTGAACAGACGGGCCGGGCCCCCCAGCTGCCTGAAGCGGCAGGGTAAGCGAGAGGGTTGCAACCCTATTTTGCCCCCAAACGGGCTGGTTGGGTGACGCCGTCGAGAATTCCCTTCAATCCTCGCCCTCTCTACGAGTCCACCTTTTTGCTTTCACCCTCAAGCAGGCCATCATCATCAGCGCTTCATTCAACCTCCCTCGCTGATCGACTTTTTGTCTCGTCAAGATGGTAGGTCCCTACCCTTCCTGAAGCCGTCTCGATACACCACGCAACACATCCCCATGTCCAGCATGCACACCGGCTGCACCGACTGTCATGTCGCTATCCCCTCAGTGCCTTAACGTCGCCGTCGCCACCTTATCGCCGAACCATCGAATTTTTTTTCTCAAACGGACCTGGTCAAGGAACACCTTCGCTAACAGGATGATACATCAATAGGTTCTCGCGGTCGACCTCCTCAACCCCACGCCTCAGGCTGAGGCCCGCAAGCACAAGCTCAAGGTATGCTGATACCCGGGTGGAAATGGAAAAAAAATGGATTTGATATCCCGAAATCGAACTCTTGGCTAAGACATTCGGCAAAACAACAGCAACTTGTGCCTGCTCCCCGCTCCTTCTTCATGGACGTCAAGTGCCCCGGCTGCTTCACCATCACCACCGTCTTCTCCCACGCCCAGACTGTCGTCGTCTGCGCCGGTTGCTCCACCGTCCTGTGCCAGCCCACCGGTGGTAAGGCCCGTCTTACTGAGGGCTGCTCTTTCCGCCGCAAGTAAATGTATCGATAATCGCGCGCAATAAAAACCTCCCGTGGTCGGAGCGATGATGAAAGCAATGTGGCGTTCTTCGATGATGATGGATTAATATATCTCGTTTTTTCTTTGAAGGAAAGCAAGATTTCAGATAGAAGATGGAATCCTCGCCCCCCTTTCTTGTGCGAGAAGCAGTCCCCCCCGCAGAGAACCCTCCCTTACCCAAGGGAAATGAAAAAAAAGACAATTTTTGACCAGACATACCCATTTCTTTTTTTCCATACTTCAGAAAACAAAAGCAATTCTTCGGTTTTATCACTTTTGCTTTCTTCCCTATTCTCTGTTCACGTTCAAAAGAGGGGCGTTCCGGATATCTGGCAACTACGAATCAAAAAAGACACTACAGTTTGACAACCATGATTCGGTCCTCGAGAGACAAATTCCTTCTCCAGTTTCTATTGCCATTTATCTGAATTCCTTCTTCGACTTGATTGTTTCTGGTTCTTTTTTCCATGTACCCACGTTGATTCCATTAACGGATGTACATCGCCACTTCTTCACGAAACCAACAATTCGGAGCACGACATACAGTACCACCGCCACGATTGCACGAGCCATGCCGGGATGCCACAGGGACTGGGGATGATTCTGGCATTGGATTGATGGTCAGCAGCAGATGCGACTAGGATATGGCATTCGGCACTCGGCATTCGACTTCTCTCTCGTGACGGAACAATCGTTGGCTCGGGGAATCAAGGCCTGAAGAGGCTTTTTACCCCAAGGTGGTACTGTATCTCTTTCTCCGTGCGGGTAGCAATCGTATGTTTTTCTTATGGTCATTCGCACTCGTAGTCTGGGCATGCCATTTCCTGCCCTAGTATGATAAGACCATTGTAAGGGCTCCACCAACACCCCGCAGTAGTGTAGACACTAGGCCAGAGTATCCGGGGATGGGTCTGGAGATTGGTCTTGTGCTCGGGACTGTATTCGGTACATTGTGTATTTTATATGAATGACGTAGGCGCCTTCCCTCAGAACAACTGTAGACCAGATTGTATTTCTGTCTGTGCACGGTAAATTCTGACATCTTCAAATTTCAAAGGTAACTCGCCCCTTAAGGTTAACTCGAACATTAGGCAAAATCCCGAGGGTCAGACATCCTTATCGAACCTTCTCCGCATTCTACTAAACTCACGAGCCTGTGATAGCGGATCTCTAATTTAGGCCTAGCGTTGACAACAATGGTAAGGTGCATGATTACCCGCTTGGCGTCCTGCTTATCGATAAGCTCGTCCCAGCATGCAAGTATGAATAAATAGGTAGAGAAAAGACGCTTAACTTCATCGGCTTTGTCTCTCCTTTCGACCTCATACATACCGAGCGTTGGGGTTGAACTCACATGCTATGATCCGCGAGAGTAATGTTGACTGTCCGAAACAGTCCAATGTATGCGATGCAATAGCGGATTTTCAAATCTACCAGCGACAGTGCCTCATCTCTTATTTCATACCCGCGAAGCCTGATACAGATATAAAGTACCGCGAACACTAGCCGTCGCAAAGGAAGACACGCACCGTTACAAAACTTCTTAAAGACGTCTCTGAGAATTAGTATCTGCAGTGTTTCATCGCAATTGATCGTCAGTCCTCATGTGTCTCTCCTCAGTGACCCTTGAGTCAAGACCCAAGCGCAGAGTGGCTATGCTGCCAGTCAGCTCGCGCGGCTGATCAGGCTGTCATCACTCCTTCACCCACCCAGTCTGTTCATCCATACAATACCATGTCACTTCCTTTCTACCAGCAATCATGTCTAACCCGAGAGCCTATACCGTGGGCTGGATCTGCGCCATAAGCACGGAGCACGTTGCTGCGCGGGCATTTCTGGACGAGATACACGAGGGACCGGGATCTGTGTCTCCGAATGACTGCAACGATTACACCCTGGGCAAGATTGGTAAACATCATGTCGTCATCGCCATCTTACCCAATGGTGAGTATGGTATAGCGTCCGCTGCGAGCGTGGCACGGGATATGCTACATAGCTTCTCACATCTCAGAATTGGTCTGATGGTCGGCGTCGGCGGCGGTGCGCCTAGCGCCAAGCATGACATCCGACTTGGGGATACTGTGGTCAGCACCCCACGCGATGGGAATGGGGATGTATGCCAGTATGACTTCGGCAAGACGATTCAAGACCAACGGTTCCGGACAACGGGATTTCTAAATCAGCCGCCAATGGCTCTGCAGACGGCGGTGAGTGGCCTCAGGAGCCAGATGGTTCTTGAACGAAAGCCGAGGCTGCGCAAGAGATTCAAGCGGCCTGCCCCGGATCGCGACAGGCTGTATCAGAATCGAGTTGTCCATGATTTAGATAATATTTGCGACCACGCTGTTATCTGTGGCAATCATCCATCAGACTTGGTCGCGCGGCGCCGACGGTTGAAGGACGAGGATAACCCGGCAGTACATTACGGCCTGATTGCTTCCGCAAATAAGCTTATGAAGGATGCGTCTGTTCGGGATAAGTTTGCTGCGGAAAAGGACGTGCTGTGTTTCGAGATGGAAGCAGCGGGGCTGATGAAACACTTCCCCTGTTTGGTCATTCGTGGTATATGTGACTACTCTGACACATAAAAATAAGGAATGGCAAGGGTATGCCGCCATGACAGCAGCCGCATACGCAAGAGACCTTCTTGACCGAATTCCTTCCAGCCGAGTCGAAGCTGAGAAGAAAATCAGCGAGCTTCTGCCTATGTGTCAGTTAGATCTTGTTTCTGAAGCAATTAGCTCTCCAACTTCCTTCTCTCCCGGAAGAAGTCAAAGAATTATATGAGCTCCATTACCCGCAGACGACCTTTCCCCGCAAAGTTACCTTGTTGCAAGCTCTCAATTCCGTGATCGATCGATTCTCGCGCGTGTTTATCCTTATCGACGCACTTGACGAATGCCAGGACGAACGAAACCGAGCATACTTCCTTGGCCTCATCAGAGATCTTGCACCATGGATCAATACATTGGTCACTTCACGACCGATTGCACTCATTGAAGACTCGTTCAAGAGATGCTTACGAGAAGAGATCCGGACACCCGAAGAAGATATTCGCAACTATGTGGAATCGGAAATCGCTAGCGAGAAGTTTGTTCTAGGTCGACAACTATCCTCAGTACCGGACCTTCGCGCTAGTATTATAGATGGCATTGTTACTAAGGCACAAGGAATGTGGGTATGCCGCCTTTAGTGATCAAGTGCGTCGCACGATATAGTGAAAGTCATGTCCGACAAATGTAGGTTCTTGCATGCTCAGTTCCACGTGAACCACTTGGCAACGAAGCATAACGTGCGAAGTCTCTGTGAAGCCTTGAGAGATCTTCCGAAGAGCTCGGGAGAGATCTTTCGGAAAGCGATGGGGAGGTTGACGAGTCAGAATCCCGAGGCCGTTCACCTGGCTGAAAAAACGCTACTCTGGATCGTCAACGCATCACGGCCGCTTCGGGTCAAGGAGATTCAGCATGTGTTGGCTGTGCAAAAAGGGGATGTCGATAGCGATGAACACGCACTTACTGCACCCTCGTACATCCTCTCACTATGCGCCGGCTTAGTAGCCATCGATGAGAGAAGCGGCATTTGTCGCCTAGTTCATTACACGGCGCAGGACTTTTTCACGGAGAACCGAGCTAGATATTCCCCCTGGGGTCATGTTGGCATGGCATCTACTTGCTTACAGTATCTTTACTTCGACCCCTTCGGAGCCGGACCTCGCCTTTCTTTGGATGAAGCTTCGCCGCCGGAGAAAACCTATGTGCTTTTCGATTACACTGCAAGAAACCTCGGACAAGCATATGTTGGACGTACAGGAAAGAAGAATCGAGTCGGCATTCAGGCTTTTCCAGAACAAACGTGCAGTGTCCAGCATGGCGCAGACTCTATTCATTGTAGAACGTGTACATGACTTTCCCGGCGACTTCCTGGGCAGACACTTACGCATCATTCCTGGGGCTTGCAGACGTTGTCTGCCGGTTGCTAGACCAGAATAGAGCAAACCTAGACGTGTCGGACTCTTATAGACGTACACCACTATCCTGAGCAGCAGAGAATGGGCACGAAGCCGTGGTCAAATTACTGCTGGACAGGATGGATCCGGCATACTTTAAGGCGATGCCGACTGGACAATGGTCTCGATCAGCGATGCAAGAGATGTCCATGAGTTCGAGCTAGATACCTACACAGTCTGTACGACGGGGTCTTCACCAAACGCAACAGACATGCTTGGCCGGACACCATTATCGTGGGCCGCTAAGGAAGGACACGAAGGAGTAGTCAAAACCCTTCTCGCGAAAGGTGCTACACCAGACCTGGCAGATGCAATGGGCCGGACTCCCTTGTTCCTGGCTGCAGAGCACGGCCACAAAGGAGTCATCCGAACGCTCCTCGAGTACAGTGTCGCCGAACTGGACGCGGCTGATATGCTGGGCCAGACACCGCTGTCCAGGGCGCCCAAGAAGGGACATATAGCGGCGGTGCGACTTCTACTAAATGAAGGTGCTGCTGTGCACCTAGCGGATGCTATAGACCGGACCCCACTGTCTTGGACGGCCATGGAAGGACATCAAGCCGTGGTCAGGGCCCTGCTGGAGAAGGGTGCTGCTGTCACCACGGTGGATCGATTCGGCGACACGCCTCTGTCTCTGGCCGCAGAGGGAGGCTCGCAAGCTGTAATCAGTATACTCGTGAGTACGGGGCTACGCTGCTAACCTAAATAATTGATTACTATGTCATTGAATCGAGAAGGTGATAAACAAGGCATTGTGATGATCGTATCTTGTATGTATAGTGCTAGCGGCCGATAGGGAGCGGTGGCCGCATGTCTGGCAGAATCCTAGAACAGCGGGCGAAACTCGGCCGTGGAAACTGTTCACTGCGCTACCGCCTTCCGGGCAGCGGCAGAATTGTAGTAGAATTGGGGAAACTCGGCGCTGAGAAGTGGTTTTTGCCATACCGCCTCCGTGGAAGCGGTAGAATTAATTGTAGACCACGGGGGAAAGTCGGCCATTGAAACTGTTTATTCTGTTACCGCCTTGCGGTTGCGGTGGCAGAATTTCTACCAGGGGCGAAAGTCGGCCGTTGAAACTGTTCAATCCCTTACCGCACCCCCCAAAAAGCGGCAGAAATCCAAGGCACCGCCTGGCTCTTATCTTATCGCATCATCCTTCTCATCCACTCTGACTCCGCAACACCGAGGAAGTCAACTCACTTAATCAAAGGCATTGTCTCTCTTTTCTTCCTTTACCATATCTTTCCCTACCCCTAGATTTCAACCTAACCCACCAATCCTCCCGACCTTCTTTTCAATCCCCAATCTAGAAATCCCAAACAAGCCACCCTCAAAATGCCACCCCCGGGAACCCCCCTCAAACTCCTCTGCCTGCACGGCTACACGCAATCGGGCGCCCTCTTCCACGCCAAAACCCGCGCCGTGATCAAGCACCTCACCAAAGCCTTGAGCCCCACCTACACCGTGACGACTGCCTACCCGACGGGCCCGCACCGCCTGTTACCGTCTGACATCCCGGGCTACGAGCCCCCGACCACGCAAGGCGGGATTGCTGCCACCGAAGAGGTTGCCGACAACGACCCCGAGGCCTACGGCTGGTTCCGCCGCTCCAACACCGCCAACCCCCCGCTGTACGCGGGCTTGGAGGAGGGCCTCACCACGATAGCGCAGGTCATCCGGGAGGAAGGCCCCTTCGACGCGGTGGTGGGGTTCTCGCAGGGCGCCGCGATGGCCGCGATGGTCGCGTCTTTGCTGGAGACGGGCCGGTTGCAGGTGTTTGAGGGGTTGGAGAATCCCGAAAATGCGTGTGCGGGGACGGAGTTTACTGGGGTGGAGGGGTTCAAGGTGCCGGAGGCGTTAAGGGCTGTCTTAGCGGAGGGTGGTGGTGGTGGTGGTGGTGGTGGTGGTGGTGGGAGTAGTACTGAAAATGGGGGGAGGCAGAAGCAGGGCCCGTTGAAGTTCGCGGTGTGCTACAGTGGGTTCCGCGCGCCGGGGCCGCGGTATCGCGCGTTCTATGAGCCGGGGATCAAGACGCCCGTGTTGCATGTGCTGGGCACGTTGGATGCCGTGGTGGATGAGGGGCGGAGTCGCGCGTTGATTGAGGCGTGTTTGGGGGATCCGGAGGCCCAGGGGAGGGTGGTCTTCCATCCCGGTGGGCATTTTGTGCCGAGTCAGAGGCCGTATTTGGATGCTGTGGTGAGGTTTATCAGGGAGGTTTTGGAGGCCGAGGATGGGGGCACGAAGAAAGGGGTCATGGATGAGGATGTTAATGATATGGAGTTGCCGTTTTGAGTTTATGCGCTAAATAGATGTTGAGGGTGTATAGAGAGAGAGAGAGAGAGAGAGAGCGAGTGTGTGAGAGGCTACTATAGATAATCGTCATACCATCCTAATCTCTAACGTCAGGTTTCTCATTGTACATTGTTCACCGCAATTTCAACGAGCCTTGCCCTTCTCGCCCCGGGTGGGAAGGATCCGGGCCATCATCTCCTCCTTGGTGATCAGGTGGTCAATCCGCTCCAACAGTCCCAGCAGGCTCTTCATGTCGCTGCTCCACTCGTTCAACACGTCGTCCGCGTCGCGCGGCTTCGAGAAGTTGACCAGCCGCGCGGGACGGTCGATCTTGGCGTAGATCGTCTTGGACGTCACCAGCTCGCTGATGTACTTCTCCGTCTCGTCCTCCGCCAGGTCCAGCAGCTCCGTCAACCGGCCCATCTGGATGCGCGTGTAGTACTTGGCCACCACCCGCACGTTGTGCTCGATCACCCGCTTGCGAAGATCCTGCCACCGCCGGTGGGCCTGGTCGTCCGCCGACTGGCTCGGCTGCGCCTTAAAGACGTCGGTCTGGCACAGGTGTGGGCCGAACTGCTCCGCCACCATCGGCCAGCGCATCAGCTCGTGGATGGTGAAGAGCTTCACCAGGCGGGCCTCGACGGGCACCGACGACAGGCGCGAGTCCTGCTGGATCCGGTGCAGGAGGTCCGACTGTTCGTTGTCGTAGGGCGAAAGGACGATGTAATACACGATGCGAGCAAGAACCTTTGGCAACAACTGTTAGCAGGACCACCCAAAGGATGTGGGAAGCCAAAAACGTACTGCGTGGAGCTGCTCGGGGTTGTTCTGGACCGAGTCCGTATCCAGCACCTCACGGTAGTGCTTGCACACGTCCAGGTATTTGTAGTCGTGGTTGGCGAGGATGATCTGTTGCTCGTAGTAGCGCAGCTTCAGGTCGGTCACATCGTCGTCCACCTCCATGGGCGGCTCATCGGGCTGGCGGGTCTTCTCCCGCTCCTCGGCCTCCTTCTTCAGCTTCTCGATCTCCTCGGCGCTCTTCTTCGGCTTGCGGGCGAAGTACCGCTTGTTGATCTTGCGGCTGAGGATCGTGGCTTGCGTCCAGTCACCCCGCTCTATGCACAGGGCCACTTGCTCCAGGATGAACTCTGTTTTCTCTCTTCGGCTCATCGAACCGAACGTCTCTACCTGCAGCTCGCAGAGGATATCAGCGGCGGCCTGGAGGTCGCCTTGGGTCTTCTTGATGTTGGATAGGATACGGGTGACACGGGCGCGCTCGACTTCGACGAAGATCTAGTGCGGCAAGGCGGCAGTTAGCGAATTTGGCTGGATTTGCCCGGAGGATGGTGTGCGACTGACCTTTCCCTCGGTCACCGTCCGCAGCGTGGAGATGACTGAGAGCTTGACCTCCAGGTTGGGGGTCTCATCCAGGAATCCCATCACCACCTGTACCATCTTCGTTATAGCTTGTTTGAGCTGGCCATGCTTCTTCGAGAGCAGCAGCACTTGGTCGTTCAGGAGGGTCCAGTCACCGGAGTTCTTGCTGATAGTGACGATTGTGACAATGATGCGGGATGTGGTGGCCAGATCGGAAGCCTGGAGATGGGCTGGTTAGACGCGGACTTGTCGCCGGACGTGGGCAAGGAGGGTCGCACCTGTCTGGCCTGCTTCTCCAACACCAGAAGCTTGTCAATGGCACCTTGCACATCAGTCTGTAGACGGTCAGCGTTCTGTGAGCTCCAGAGCGATGCTAGTGCGCTGACCTTGGCAAGCTGCTCTGCCTCGGGGATTAGCTTGTCAGCATCCTTGGAGAAGTCCTTCTCCGGCTTCAACAAGGTTTCGGACATGGTGACGAGGCGTCACTGTAAGTAGGGAGATGATAGATCTGGAGGAAGGGGTATCTAGGGAATCTTGGGTAAGTGACACAGAGAGGATGTGGAAATGGGCGAGAAGATGGGGATGGAGGGATATGATGGAGGCGGATTGTTCAAGGCATGGATGGACGGCGACGGGCTTCGGAGCTCTGACGTGCAGCTCCCAGCTGCGTCACGTGAGTAGACAGTGTCCAGCAACCTCCATCTGAACACCACGGTCAGTGTTGTTTACACCTGCTACGGAGGACTCTCAGCAATAATAATGTGATTATGCCCGTTTGGTCTCTTGTTTCCTCAATTAATTATTTTTTCCCATTTTCATGGATGTCGCCGCTGAGATAACTGGCACGCATTATGGTTATGTAGTTGGCTCTCTTGCAGGAGAGCCGAACTCCTCACTCAGTCAGCAACTGGACAACCAGAACCATGCCAGAGCTCTCTGCCTAAGGCTGAGAGCTTCTGGATCATGTTCTTTTCCATTATCACCAACTGGTCAAATGAGGGTCTACCCAATCCGGAAACTCAGAGTAAGCCGACCGCTTATTTAAGCCAGATTCCGAGCACGCAATCACGCAATATGAGGTTAACCGCATTGGGCGACGAATCTATAAAATCCTCAGGGACGAATGACTGCGACGCCGCGGACTTTTTGTGTTTTTTCTGTTGTGATTCATACCGCAGATAGTCTTATCGACCAGATTTGGCTGGCAAGTGGGAGAATTCGCAGCTCTTATCTCCAGGTTATCACGGTAGTCATCCGCTGCGTCGAACATTTCCGCGGAGGTGCACTCTCTACCCTCTCGCAATCAATAAATTGAATCGACCATCCTGAGTCACAGGTTTCAAGAGTGTATCCGAAGAATTCACGTCCTTTACTCGGTGCTCAGTTTTCTCAACGACTGACCGGAGAAGAGAGAAGTTCGAAAGCAACGCCACCCACTATAGCCTGCACTTTCCGCAGTGGCGACTTATCATCATGCGGGATGCATCAAATACCAGCTCCCCCGCGCCGTTGTTGACGGCGGTCAACGTCGAGTCGCAGGTGCATCTGATCATTGGAGCAAACCCGTTGGCTGCGGCCCGATGTGCGAAGAGCGTCGAGGCCGGCGCAAAGCCCATTCTCATCACCCCGGAACCGCAGGAGGGGCTGCAATATACGCTTGTTGAGCGGATCGAGAGTAATTCCGTGCGGTGGATTCGCCGGGAATTCCAAGATGACGATCTGACCAGCTTGGGAAGGGAAGAAGTCGACCGCGTGGTTGACACGGTCTTTGTCACTCTTGGCGGAAGTGACCCGCGCAGCGCACACATCTCCAAGCTCTGTCGACGGCTTCGGATCCCGGTCAATGTGTCCGATGCCCCCGAGCTCTGCACATTTACACTCCTCTCCACATACTCTGATGGGCCCTTACACATTGGCATCACGACGTCGGGACGCGGGTGTAAACTGGCGTCTCGGCTGCGGCGAGAGATCTCGTCTTCGCTCCCCTCGAATCTCGGAAGCGCCATTGACAGATTGGGCGCCGTGAGGAAGCGGCTCTGGGCCGAAGACCACGCAGCCGGACTGTGTGACACGGCACTCGAAGGTGACGAGGACGACTCCACCGGTCAACGCCACACGTTCAACACCCTAGTGACCGAGGACGACATTTCCGCCGCCAAAACCCGACGCGTGCGCTGGCTCTCCCAGATTTGCGAGTACTGGCCCCTCCGCAAGCTCGCCGCCATCACGGATGCCGACATCGCGACCATCCTTGAAGCCTATTCAGCGGGCCAAGACCAATCCACCAACAGCAGCCAGAACGAGTCGAGCAGTCTGACCCGACGAGGAAAGATCGTCCTGGCTGGTTCCGGCCCCGGCCACCCGGACCTCCTCACCCGGGCCACTTACAACGCCATTCAAAACGCCGACCTCATCCTTGCCGACAAACTCGTCCCTGCCCCGGTCCTGGAGCTAATCCCGCGCCGGACAGAGGTGCATATCGCGCGCAAGTTCCCCGGGAATGCGGATCAAGCGCAGGAGGAGTTCCTGCAGATGGGGCTGGAGGCGCTCCGCCGGGGCCGGCACGTCCTCCGTCTCAAGCAAGGAGACCCCTATCTGTATGGGCGGGGCGGCGAGGAATTCGAGTTCTTCCGCGGCCAGGGCTACGTGCCGATTGTGCTGCCAGGCATCACCAGTGCTCTGAGCGCGCCGCTCTTCGCAGAGATCCCGGCCACCCACCGCGGGGTATCGGACCAAGTGCTGGTGTGTACGGGTACAGGTCGCAAGGGCGCCGCGCCGGCTCCGCCGACGTACGTGCCAACCCAAACGGTGGTGTTTCTAATGGCGCTGCATCGGTTGTCGGCGTTGGTGGAGTCGTTGACCACTGTGCCAGCGGCAAGTGACGAGAAAGATGAGTCGTCGCAGCCGACGCGGACGCCCTGGCCGAAGGAGACGCCCTGTGCGATCATCGAGCGGGCTTCGTGTACGGATCAGCGGGTGATCCGGTCCACATTGGAGCATGTGAGTGCTGCGTTCGAGGCGGAGGGGTCCAGGCCCCCTGGGTTGTTGGTTGTGGGAGCCAGTTGCTATGTTCTGCATCCCGCGCAGGGACAGAAGTGGGTGGTTGAGGAAGGTTTCCGGAGCTTGGATGAGTTGTGTCTGGAGACGGGTGGTGGTGCTGGCACTGATGAGAGCCAGTGATTGTGTTGTATGTTGTTATGTTTGTTGCATAGATACCCATAGATGTTGTATATGAATGAACCCCTGTCGCGGGGATGATGGTTGATGATATACCTCTACCAACTTCTTTCTTAGTCCCAGGAGCACTTAGTTTCAATACCCATGATAAAAGGTTTCCGGGGAGAACCTCCGGACCCCCCTTTCTTTCAACTTGCTAGTAGCACTCAATCCCAATGCTCATAACAGACAATTCCCGGGGGAGAACCCCCGGACCCCCCTTCCTTTCAGCTTCCCCAGCAAAGCTCATCTGTAATAAGCATTGAACAGCTCGGGAGGAGGATATAGACAGACATAACAAACACAAGATCTCCATGTATGTGTGCACAAGGCAACCAAAACCTCCCCTTATGCACAAAATCATGCAAAACAAGCCAGCCATATAGCACATCATCAATACCAATTCACTAACATAGAAACCTAGCAACCTACCCAACAACCTCGACAGCACCCCTCCTCGCCGCCAGCAGCTTCGCGATCTTCTCCCTCTGCGCATTCATCAGCCC